CTATAGGTTAGGTTCATCGAAACAGCTATGACATTCTAATATGCACCTACGTAATGTGACTTTCATTCGTTGCCGCGAGGTTTTGAAAGTCAACTGCCCGTCGTGTCATTTTCATTTTTTTTTTTTTGTTCTTACCCTTTTTTTATAATTGAACTTGTTTCAGTCACACGCCCAACTTTTCTTTTTTAAAAAAAAATCCGCTTTGCCTACGTGTGTCAATTAAAAAAAATAATAATAACTCAGTTTAATATAAAAATTGCATCACTGGCAAATGAATAATGTAATAATTCTATTGTATTTGCAAAAGAGAAAAGATTTTATGGAGGAGTATTGTGAAGAATACAAAGAAAAACTGTAATAATCAGGAACAACGTAAATGTCTTTGAAAACAGCTGAAGCATTTAGAATGAGGTTATTATTTGTGTCAGCTTCAAATCACGCTCCCAGAAAAAAAAAAATTCAACTATATTTATTGGGTTGATGCAAAATTTTCCAGCATTCGGACAACAGTAACTTTTGTTTTATCCATATAAATAATATAGCATTATTATTCAGTTAACAAGCTATTTCTCTTGATTACATTATGATCTTACATGGCTTTGCAGCTAAACTGTGTGGTCAACAAAAAGGAAATAAAAGATTTTAGATTCGAATACCAGGAAACAAATAGAAGGAATCAATTTTACAAACGCCTGGGGCTGTACCAATAAGTTCAAAGATAAAAAAAAATCATAATTTCCGTCCAATCAAAACACCCTTTAACGTTGAATTTGGTTGAAGAATATCATAATTTCTGTCCAATCAGAACACAGCTAAACTTGATTGAAGAACATCATAATTTCCGTCCAATCAAAACGCAGTTATACTTGATTGAAGGACATTTTAATTTCCGTCCAATCAAAACACAGTTATATATGATTGAAGGCCATCTTAATTTCCGTCCAATCAAAGCACAGTTAAACTTCATTAAGAGCATCATAATTCCCGTCCAATCAGAACATCATAATTTCCGTCCAATCAAACAACAGCTAAACTTGATTGAAGAAAATCACAATTCTGTAGTGTTCAGTGATTAGAGCATGTTTTGCCTTCATGCAAGTGATGGTCGTTAGTGTGGGCAACGTACACCTGTATTGGTGGCATCTTTCAGAGTAAATTCGCCCAAGAAAAACAGGCCCAATCCCTAGCGTTAACACAAGTTACAATTTTCGTTCGCTTTTAGGTCTTTGTGAAGAGAATATTAAATTGCACCATGTAAATTTCAAAAAATTGTTCGACACTCTCTGCTGTCAATTCTGAAAAAAAAAAGCAGATGATATGTAGGATAATGACCATCCATATGTCGCCTATGCATGCAACTCCAAATGTTTAGCAAGGTGTTCAACCTCTTCTCTGGCCAGTAAATCACCAGATCTGTCCCTCATTAAACATAATAGAATAACGTCTGATTATTTTTCAGCTAAGCTCATATAGAAATCATGCTTTATTGCATCAAAGGCGAAATACATGTGGAATAATGTAGCCTAGGCTCGTATTCGGTATTTGTACGATAGTATGATTACAAGAGTACAGGTCTGTGTTAACACACAAGGAGGATAGACAGTTTATTAATATGGGGTATGAGTACATTTTATACATCCTTATTTTCGAATCTATGGGCGTATTGATATGTGTATGTGTAATAGAACGATATACGCAAATTGAAACATATATTCAAAACACTGTATATTACTTCCCCAGTTTATAGTTTTATACTACTGTTTTTTATATATATTTTTTTACATAATATAAAACCCGAGAGCCTCTCAAGGTAGAGGGTTAATAAATGAGGTTGTTGTAAAGCCCACCTCCAGGGAACGAGCAAAAGGTGCATATTACGAGACTATGTAGGATAGATAAATACTGAGTCTAGACTTGAAGCTTATGTTCCACAACGTAAAAGTGTTGGCGAAGTATCTGTCTTAGTGGAACTTCCTCCTTACCAATGGAATATAAATGGAATGAGGATGAGTCGACTCAGTGAACCAGGCATGGTGGTTCCTAGCTGTGGAATTCTAGACTGGTGGAAGTAAGAAATGCAGCGCGCCTGAACACCTGCTATGAGAATATCGAGAGAATAGCCATAGGTTAGCAACGTTTCGGTTGTGGGAAAGAGGTTGTAGAGTGGAAAATAATTAATCATCCATAAAGCCACGTAAACACTTATGAGTGAAATATATACATATATTTTTTCTGGAGAAATAAATTATAGTCATGGAACATTAAGGTTGTCTTTTTCTTAATTTAATATATATATATATATATATATATATATATATATACAATTTTATATATATCATATATGCGCAGTACTTATTGGAAAGCGCTCAATATCAGTGAGAGACCTAAGATATTTAGTTTGAATCATCAATCCAACTATATATATATATATATATATATATATATATATATATATATATATACTCGACTCTCCCGTCGAATTCGCCGTATGAGGGTCAAGCAGATCAGTTCCTAGGAAACCGACAGCACATGAGATTTGATTATAGTGGTGAAGGTTTCGTGCAGGACCAGCCACACTTTTTGAAGGCCCGAATACAGAGACCTGGTGCACTACATCCCTAAACGACCCTCCGCAGGTTTTGAATTCAGAGTTGTCCTTCTCCTAGACCAGTTGCCATCCAAGGCTATAGAATGCAGTCTGTCCTGCTATTTACCCATATCTGGAGGGAGAAGAAGAGGATTCACACCTTTTCCAAGGATATTAGCACGTAAGTGAATGTAATGGATTTGACTTGAATTCGAACTCGCCTCTCCGATTCCTCAATCCAAGCCGCTATCCATTACTCCAGAACAGTTAAATTTATAACCCAAAGTTCTTTATTATTTATTTTTTTAAAACCATTGCTTAATACACACTAGAGCATAATATTATAATTATTTTTTTTAAAATGTTTCCATCGCAACACAGAAATTACTGTTCTAAAACAAAATTTAAATTTTAGATTAAAATTAAAATTTGAAGTTTTGTTTCATTTTAAAGCGATCCTGAGAATAAACTTTGAAAACATCGATTTACTCTGTTTTATAAGACAAATAGTATTTTATATTTAAGTTGGTGGGTTAATGAGAATTCAGAATTTTCAATTTAGTGGGTGTTGGCTTTTTTGACGAATTAAAATACAAGTATAATTTTTATGTGGCAAATTGAAAGTCTGTTAATGTTAGGTGGGGGTTATAATGTTTAATATCTAAAAATCAGTAAACTAATTGAGTTTTTTTCCAGATCTTCACATAAGACTTTTAGACATCTTGACACCATTTTTTGTAAGAATCACTGAAAAAGCCTTTGAATTACTCAGCTTAAAAGAGAACAGGTTAAAATTGTTTTGTCTTAGACTTACTGTCTTCCCAACTGAGCAATGGTGAGACGAATAAAGATCACTCAGGCTTTCAGTAATGTTACCAATTATCATACTCTGGCTTTCATCTTCAAAGGCTATTCAAGAACCATCAAGAGAACGGGGAATAAGTTTAAAAAGAGGGAACAGTAAAGAGAAAAACTGGATCACGAGGTCACAACAGGAAGAGGGATCATCTTTTCAACTTAGTGCTAAAGGGATCAATGTAAAAAGATCCAACTCAGCCCGTTTGGCGCATGAGAGAGGAGTTTCAGCTATGACAGTCCGAAGAGCAATGAACAAAGACTTGAAAATGAAATCATACGTGAAAAACGTGAGACACTTTGTTACTCCAGGACAGAAAGGTAGAATATTAGAGATGGAGAAGATCATTTTGAATAAGTATGAAAATGATTCTGAATAATATATATATATATATATATATATATATATATATATATATATATATATTTAAACTTTATTTCAATACTCCATGAGCTACCGATCCTTACCTATGATTAATTAATGATGAACATGCCATTTTCGCTTATGATTGATTTAATCACGATTCTTCTGTTAAGCTTGGAAAGTAATTATGCATTCTTATTGCTCAAAGTAGAGTCCAATAGTGTTATAAATACTTCGGCGAATTCCAGTAAGATATCTTTAATCATTTCTAAGATACAACGGTTCAGAGCTTAATCAAACAATCGGGCAATTTTGGGTTTCGACAATTTTGCTGTTACACCCGGTATATATATATATATATATATATATATATATATATATATATGTGTGTGTGTGTGTGTGTGTGTGTGTGTGTGTGTGTGTGTGTGTGTGTGTGTGTGTGTGTGTTAAATTGAACTCACCTCGACATTATTATAAATAGGTGTATTTGGATTTGTAGAAGAGGGGTTCAGTTTGGGAACAAACTCAGCTGAAATTGAACTCAGCTCGCCGATTTCACAATTCAACCCGTGTGTTAATCTCAGCAGATCGACTCAAACAAAATGAGAAGCTTAATCCTGTTGGACCTTAGGACTGTCATATCCGTCTATACGTAGAGAGAGAATAACCAGAAATTCTTAACGAAATAATCAAAAAAGGTTGAGCCATTATGGGTCAGTAGATTATTGAGTGTAAGACTTAATTTCCGTGTGACCGACATTTACTGAAGTCTCTTGGAGTCCGGGGGAGCCGTACTACACGTCAAAGATGAGAAAAATTGTCGCCAGTCATTATGTATAAAGTTGTTCTGTTGAATTTTTGAGAGGGGGAGACAGTTTTAGGCGATCTGAGGTAATGAGTGTCCGGTGCAAGGAAGGACAAAAAGAAAAGAAAAAAAAACAAAACAGGAAGACAAAAGGAATTCAAGAAAAGAAAGAAAAAAGAAAAAGATTTGAAAAAAAAAAGAGAAAATCATAGAATTATAAAAAAAGAAAGAATAAAAGAACGAAAGGGAAACACGAAAAAAAAAAAAAACAGAGAATAATGTGAATATTATTGAAAGAAAAACAATTTAAAATATCAAAGAAAGAAAAAGAAAGAAAATATTTGATAATAAAGAAAATACAAGAAATACTAAAAAACTAAGTTAAAATATCAAAGTAAAGAAAGAAAGAAAGAAAGAAAGAAAGAAAGAAAGAGGGCTGTGTAAAATATAAAAGGAAGGAAAGGGCTGTGGAAAATGTAAAAGAAAGAAAGAAAGAAAAAAAGAAAGAAAAAAGAAAGAAAGAGGGCTGTGTATAATATAAAGGGAAGGAAGGAAGGAAGGGGCTGTGGAAAATGTAAAATAAATAAATAAATAAATAAAGAAAGAAAGAAAGAAAGAAAGAAAGAAAGAAAGAAGGAAAGAGGGCTGTGTAAAATATAAAAGGAAGGAAGGAAGGAAGGGGCTGTGGAAAATGTAAAAGAAAGAAAGAAAGAAAGAAAGAAAGAAATAAAAAAGAAAAGAAAGAAAGAAGGAAGGGCTGTGTAAAAAATAAAAGAAAGGAAGGAAGGAAGAAAAAAGGAAAGGAAGGGCTGTAAAATATAAAAAAATGTAAAAGAAAGAAAGAAAGAAAGAAGGAAAGAAAGAAAGAAAGAAAGAAAAGAAGGAAAGAGGGCTGTGTAAAATATAAAAGGAAGGAAGGAAGGAAGGGGAAAGAAAAGAGGGCTGGAAAATGTAAAAAAGAAAAGAAAAGAAAGAAAAAAGAAAGAGGACTGTGTAAAATATAAAAGGTAGGAAGGAAGGAAGAAAGGAAGGATTGGGGCTGTGGAAAATGTAAAAGAAAGAAAGAAAGAAAGAAGGAAAGAAAGAAAGAAAGAAAGAGGGCTGTATAAAATAAAAAATATAAAAGGAAGGAAGGAAGGAAAAAGGAAGGAAGGAAGGAAGGAAGGGACTGTGGAAAATGTAAAAGAAAGAAGGAAAAGAAAGTAAAAGAAGGAAAAAAGAAAAAAGAAAGAAAGAAAGAGGGCTGTGTAAAATATAAAAGGAAGGAAGGAAGGAAGGGCTGTGGAAAATGTAAAAAGAAAGAAAGAAAGAAAAAAGAAAAGAAAAAAGAAAGAAAGAGGGCTGTGTAAAATATAAAAAGGAAGGTGTGGAAAATGTAAAAAGGGAAGGAAGAAGGAAGGAAGGGCTGAAAATGTAAAATAAATAAATAAATAAATAAATAAAGAAAGAAAGAAAGAAAGAAAGAAGGAAAGAGGGCTGTGTAAAATATAAAAGGAAGGAAGGAAGGAAGGGCTGTGGAAAATGTAAAAGAAAGAAAGAAAGAAAGAAAGAAAGAAAGAAAGAAAGAAAGAGGACTGTGTAAAATATAAAAGGTAGGAAGGAAGGAAGAAAGGAAGGAAGGGGCTGTGGAAAATGTAAAAGAAAGAAAGAAAGAAAGAAAGAAAGAAAGAAAGAAAGAAAGAAAGAAAGAAAGAGGACTGTGTAAAATATAAAAGGAAGGAAGGAAGGAAGGAAGGAAGGAAGAAAATGTAAAAAAGAAAAAAGAAAAAAAGGAAGGAAGAAAGAAAGGAAGGGCTGTGGAAAAATGAAAAAAGAAAGAAAGAAAGAAAGAAAAAAGGAAAGAAAGAAAGAAAAAAGAAAGAAAGAAGGAAAAGAGGGCTGTGTAAAATATAAAAAAGGAAGGAAGGAAGGAAGGGCTGTGGAAAATGTAAAAAAGAAAGAAAGAAAGAAAGAAAGAAAAAGAAAGAAAGAGGACTGTGTAAAATATAAAAGGTAGGAAGGAAGGAAGAAAGGAAGGAAGGGGCTGTGGAAAATGTAAAAGAAAGAAAGAAAGAAAGAAGGAAAGAAAGAAAGAAAGAAAGAGGGCTGTGTAAAATATAAAAGGAAGGAAGGAAGGAAGGGGCTGTGGAAAATGTAAAAGAAAGAAAGAAAAGGAAAGAAAGGAAAGGAAAGAAAGAAAGAAAAGAAAGAAAGAGGCTGTGTAAAAATATAAAAGGGAAGGAAAGGGCTGTGGAAAATGTAAAAGAAAAAAGAAAGAAAGAAAGAAAAAAGAAAGAAAAAAGAAAGAAAGAGGGCTGTGTAAAATAATATAAAGGAAGGAAGGAAGGAAGGGGCTGTGGAAAATGTAAAATAAATAAATAAATAAATAAAGAAAGAAAGAAAATGTAAAAAGAAAGAAAAAAAAAAAGAAGGAAAGAGGGCTGTGTAAAAAATATAAAAGGAAGGAAGGAAGGAAGGGCTGTGGAAAATGTAAAAAAGAAAGAAAGAAAGAAAGAAAGAAAGAAAGAAGGACTGTGTAAAATATAAAAAAGAAAGGAAGGACTGTGGAAAATGTAAAGAAAGAAAGAAAGAAAGGAAAAGAAAGGAAAGAAGGAAAAGAAAAATGTAAAATATAAAAGAAAGGAAAGAAAATGTAAAAAGAAAGAAAGAAAGAAAGAAAGAAAGAAAGAAAGAAAGAGGGCTGTGTAAAATATAAAAGGAAGGAAAGGGCTGTGGAAAATGTAAAAGAAAGAAAGAAAAAAAAAAGAAAGAAAAAAAGAAAGAAAAATATAAAAGTGTATAGGAAGGAAGGGAAAGGAAGGAAGGAAAAAGGGAAAGTGGAAAGGAAAATGTAAAAATAAAGAAAGAAAGAAAGAAAGTAAAAAAAGAAAGAAAGAAAGAAAGAAAGAAAGAAAGAAAGGAAAGATGGACTGTGTAAAATATAAAAGGTAGGAAAAGGAAGGAAGGAAGGAAGGGGCTGTGGAAATGTAAAAGAAAGAAAGAAAGAAAAAAGAAAGAAGGACTGTGAGGGCTGTAAAATATAAAAGGAAAATGAAAAAGGAAAGAAAGAAAGAAAAGGAAAGAAAGGGAAAGAAAGAGGTGTAAAATATGTGGGAAATGTGGAAAAAGTAAAAGAAAGAAAAAAGAAAGAAAAAAAGAAAGAAAAGTATAAAAGAAAGAAAGAGGACTGTGTAAAATATAAAAGGAAAAGGAAGGAAGGTAAAATATAAAAGAAAAGGAAGGAAGGGCTGTGGAAAATGTAAAAAAAAAAAGAAAGAAAAAGAAAGAAAGAAAGAAAGAAAGAAAAAAGAAAGAAAGAAAGAAAGAAAGAGGACTGTGTAAAATATAAAAAAGGAAGGAAAGGGCTGTGGAAAATGTAAAAAGAAAGAAAGAAAGAAAAAAAAAAAGAAAAAAAAAGAAGGAAAGAGGGCTGTGTATAATATAAAAAAGGGAAGGAAGGAAGGAAGGGCTGTGGAAAATGTAAAATAAATAAATAAAAAAAAAGAAAGAAAGAAAGAAAGTAAAATATAAAAAAGAAAGAAAAGAAAGAAAGAAAAGTAAAAAGAAAGAAAGGAAAGAAAGAGGGCTGTGTAAAATATAAAAGGAAGGAAGGAAGGAAGGGGGCTGTGGAAAATGTAAAGAAAAAAGAAAGAAAGAAAGAAAGAAAGAAAGAGGACTGTGTAAAATATAAAAGGTAGGAAGGAAGGAAGAAAGGAAGGAAGGGCTGTGGAAAATGTAAAAAAGAAAGAAAGAAAGAAAGAAAAAAAAGAAAAGAAAGAAAGAAAGAAAGAGGACTGTGTAAAATATAAAAAGGTAGGAAGGAAGGAAGAAAGGAAGGAAGGGGCTGTGGAAAATGTAAAAAGAAAGAAAAGAAAGAAAGAAAGAAAGAAAAAGAAAGAAAGAAAGAAACTCAAAAAAGAAGACTGTGTAAAATATAAAAAGGAAAAATAAAAGAAAGAGGAAGGAAAAAAGAAAGGAAGGAAGGGGCTGATGGAAAATGTAAAAAAGAAAGAAAGAAAGAAAGAAAGTATCAAAGAAAAGAAAAGAAAATCCTCAAAAGTTTAAAGAGAGGACTGTGTAAAATATAAAAAAAAGAATTTGAAGAAAAAAAAAGGAAAAATGAAAATCTTTTTTGGGAAGGCAATCGAAGGTGAAAACTTAAATAACTGATTATTCATTTTATACTGGTGTTGAGGCGAACAGAAGATACGGAGACGTTTGAACATTGACATGCATACATTTTTTTTAATCATATCACGCCATGCTAGGTTTTCCTTTTCAAAAAAGTTACTTTTGAAACAAAACAAAATGGCATTATTAAGGGTGAGAACAACAGAAGTGTAATTAACGTATCGATTGAAATATTTGAATCAATGAATTTATTCATCCTCAAAGAGTTTATTCAAGAGTGAAGAAACTTGAGACAAATTAAGGATAAAATAAAGAAAAGAGGATATTTGAAGAATGATTTTTTTTAAAAAATGAAGAATCTTTAAAATGAAGACATATTTTTTTGGGAAAAGAAAAACTTATAAATATTTAAGATAGATTCAGGACGAAGTCGACACAGTGAACCAAAACTTAAATAACTGATTATTCATTTTATACTGGTGTTGCATCAGCCATGCCGAACATTGAAGATACGGAGACGTTTGAACATTGACATGTTTATCAATTTTTTTAATCATGCCATACCGCTTCCGGATGTCTCAATTATCTCCCCTCTCAAGGTTGTATTAAACTCTTTTGGGTTAAACCACCCCAAGCAACAAAAGAGTTTACATTAAAGGTATGCCACGAAGAAAACTTGCAACAGAAACACAGGTAAATAAGAAAAAAATCTAATCAAAAACACCTTAAACAAAAAGTTAGGAAGGAAACTCTCATCATTATTAGAAAGTATCTATAGCTGATAGATATATATAGATTCATAAAAGTCCCAACATTGTGCATTCGTAAAATAGGTAATTCAAACCTAGCTCTATCAACACAGCCCCCGTAGTCGAATTGGTAAAGGTACGTTTAGGCCAAGGGTCGGCAACCTACGGATCCGGCCTGCGAAGGCATTTTGACCGGCCCGCGAGCCTGATTACCAATGACTCTATTTTTAACATGAGAGACGACCTTCAAATGAAATTTGTTATATGTCATTTTCCATAGAATGTCTACACATCTCAGTGCACTAAAAATATTAGACTATCTGCCAGTTATCTTTCATGAGACTTATTTTACCAAGTTGCGTTGCCTACGTTTAATGTCAAATAATGGATACATATTTGTTATGACCCTTGGCTACATTAAAAGATAACAGAAGCGAAAGGAACGCTAAAGTGAAAGAGGCCAGGGAGGGACTGACATGCGAGGTAGCAGAAATCTAAAGACAGTTAAACATACGCGCATTATACATACATGCCTCATGAATGTGTGGATGATACCGCATGTGTACGTACATAAGTGTATATGTTTGCAACTATTTGTACTCATATGTATGGGTATATGTGCTTCATTTTTGCTTGATGTGTGTGTGTGTTGTTTGTTTGTGGAACAATTTTCAATAACAGTTTCAAACCTACACGTCATAATTTCATCCATTTCACTTCGGTTGATTTTTTTTCACTTTGAAGTATTTTGTCCTTCCTTGAGGAAAAGTAATTTTTGTTAGGTGTTTTTTTAATTTTAGATTTTCTTTTGTTTTTCTGATTTCTCAATGTTTATTTTCATTATGATTTTAAATATTTAGGTTGACAGGCATATGTAATTTTCCTTAATTTTTCATTAATGGCCTTCGTCCGGCCCGCGACCCGTCATTATAACACGATCCGGCCCGCGAGGTCGAATCAGTTGCTGACCCCTGATCTAACAAGTAAATAAACACTGAATTTTGACAAAACTAAATTATCCCTTCTCCAGTCGCAAGTATAGTAGTTGTAAATTATTTCCTTTAAACAATGAGAGAGTTTAAAACAAAAAACGCGGCCCTTAATTCCACCAGTTCAGACCTTCACAGCTAGGACCCTCTATGCCGCGTACACGGAGTTGAATCATCCTCATTCCCTTCGTATCCTTTTGATCGGCAGTAAGTTCCACCAAGACAGCTTCTTCCGTAGAACTGTTATCTTGTGAAACAGACTCCCGACTGGATGCTTTCCGGACCGCTAAAATCTGAACCACTTCAAGTTTAGGGTCAAGCTACTTATTCTCATAATATGCATTTCTTTCTTCCTCCTTCCTCACACCCGTGCAACGATTTCACTGAGTAACCCTCTACAATGAGCGGTATAAATATATTATCCCCCTCTATGGTTTAAATAGTAGAACATGCTATCTAAAAAAATGTTTGTTATCTCCAAAATATGAAAACAAAAACGTCAATGCAATATTCCCTCGCAAAAAAAAAGAATTATTCTTACATCCCAAAAATGTTTTAGCTTCACAAATAACACACCAAGGGTTGATAACCCACAAAAAGCAAATAAATCGATCAAACAATACTATACGTGTCTCTTGGAGTACGTAGTCGTCGTCTGTGTGCCATGTTCCTTCAAAAAGTGGGTGTTCATGGCTCTCCACAAATTCCTGTTCTTTATGGCTTTTAGTAAGTTTTGCCTTTTTGCTACCTCTTATAATCCATGTTTTGCCAAAAAATTACACAAGGTCGTTTGGTAAGTTGTGCGATGTTTTCTCCTGTCTCTTTGACCTTCAATATGTCATGTGAGTGTCAAATTCTCCAAGTCCTCTTTCCTCATTATGAGCTGTAGAATTTTCAATCGTCTCATTCGGGTTCTATGTATAAGTCACCGTTTTGTTTCTAGTTTATCTAAAACTTCTTCATTATGAACCTGTTCAGTCCTTGAAATTCTCAGTATCCTTCTGTAGAACAAGAATTCTTTTGCCACATATCTCTTGTTCGTTTGTGAGAAGATTGTCCAGTATCCACTATCAAATAGCTGGTACTGATATTATATAACAGTTCAGTACTCAGAATTTTTCCTGTTTCTTAATACTTTGCTTATATTTTGAAAGGTATTTGTCGCTATTCCAATACACCTTCGAATTTCAATATCGCATTTTTGGTCCTTTGTTAAAACACTTCCTAGATATTTAAATTTTTGTACTTGCTTGATTTTTGGTTGTCATTCGCATCTTGGGATGTTCCCTTTGCTGACAAACATAATTATTTTCCCTTACAATTGATATTTAGTCCTTTCTTCCCGTTTCCCTTTCACTATCTTCTGTAGCAGTTTATGTTGTTTCTTTTTTATGGTGTTATGGGTATGACGATAAACTACATCCGGCAGCAAGGACTCTGATCAGGAGGTTCTGAGGAGCGCGGAATCACCGCTTGATTGCTAGTGTTCCCAGGTCCACCTTGACCCGGGGTGGTAGCACCTGTTAGGGTCCCAGCTATGGGCAAAAAGTTAACCCCAAAACTGGGGTGAAAACGCTATGAAAGTGTAAAAATAGGTTTTAATGCCAGCAAATATATTTTTGAGAAAAAAAATTACCAGCAATGCATTTTTGAGAAAACAATGCCAGAAATGCATTTTTGAAAAAAAAAAAAATACCAACAATATATGGTTGAGAAAAAATAATTACTAGCAATACTTTTTTGAGAAAAAAACAAAACAGTAGCAATAAAAATCCTGCCGGCATTAAATAACCCACCGAGGTTGATATACCGTAAAGCAAAACAAACTAAATCAAACAAGGAATTTACTCTGTCTCGCTACAAAGACGAGTTGTGATACATGTTCAGTTTTTAAGGTGGGAACCCGAGCGCGTACAGCCGGGCTAGGAACAAAAATTGCCTGCAGCCACTGCAACCATCGGTTGCGCTGGTCTCGGTGTGAGCACCGATTCCTCTCTCTGGCGCAGCTGTTACCTAGGGCTGGGCACCTCTCAGTATAATTTCCCTCAGTTGCGATTCTGTCCTTTGACGGAGCCGCTCCTGAGTGCACTCCATCCAAAGACAGAGACGCAACTGAGAGATGATAAATAGATGTGTTACAAACCACTCGAGAGAGCAGTTTACACAAACTAAATCAAAACTAAACTAATCCTTTTTGTGTCTGCCACCAACTGGCTGAACTAAAAAAAAAACAAGATCCTCTGAAAGCCGGTGACTATTGTACGTGACCCCGACGCAAGCAAATGAAGAGATTGGTTGGGCTGACGTCTTTTGAAAACAGTCTTCCTTCTTCCTGGTACGCACGTGTCGATAAGTCTACAGGGGTCAACAAGCGACACAGGAAATAAATCTTCAGACTTCATGACTCGTTTCCGTATTGAGGTCTACCTGCCGGGCTTAGAACCCAATTAGCATAAAATGCGATTACGTCTGCTTTAAACGTGCGAGTGGACAACAAAGTTACTATCTGCTCTGAGTTTTTGCAAATTGTTGTCTGGGCAAAATCGATGGACACAACAAATGACGCAGCACATATTTCGATTAAACGCCTTACTTAGAAAGATTACTTCGCTACTTATGTAACTATTAAAAAAAACAGTCTTAGCTGGCCATGTTATATTTTTTCTTCTTTAATCGGTATTACCCCACGTAAGGGAGTAAAGCCACTAAGACACGAGGGATTATAGAGTTTGGAAGAATTAAGAACAGAAACATTAATATTGAGCGGGAATAGAAAAGAGTAATCAGGGGACAGTAGATAGCGATTGACATTGCATTTAAATTTTTGCAGATTAAAGTTGGCTGGAAAGCATGGAGCCGGAAGGGAATTCCACAACCGAGAAGTGCGAGAAAAGGAATTGTTAGCATAGGACTTACGGTTACATTTAACCAGCTCAACTGTAAATTGATGAGATCTCGACGCCAGTCTAGTACAAAATAATATAAGTGACAGATGTTTATCAAAAGGCATTAAAAAAAATAGAGGTTTCAAGTCTTGAGAGCCACTCAAGGTAGAGGTTTAGAGATTAAGAAGCACATTTTACGAGGATATGTTAAAGATATCGGTTTACTCTAAAAT